CTCCTGTTTGACCACTTCCAATTTGCCTTGATTCATGGACCTAACATTCCAGGTTCCTATGCAATATTGCTCTTTACAGCATCGAACCCTGCTTCCATCACCAGTCCCATTCACAACTGGTTGTTGTTTTTGCTTTGGCTCCATCCCTTCATTCTTTCTGGAGTTATTTCTCCACTGATCTCCAGTAGCATATTGGGCACTTAGCGACCTGGGGAGTTCCTCTTTCAGTATCCTATCATTTTGCCTTTTCATACTGTTCATGGGGTTCTCAAGGCAAGAATACTGAAGTGGTTTGCCATTCCCTTCTCCAGTGGACCACATTCTGTCAGAGCTCTCCACCATCACCTGGCTGTCTTGGGTGGTACCACATGGCATGGCTTAGTCTCATTGAGTTAGACAAGACTGTGGTCCATGTGATCAGATTGGCTAGTTGTCTGTGATTGTGGTTTCAGTCTGTCTGCCCCCTGATCCCCTCTCTCCTTGCCTACTGTCTTAGTTGGTACATGGCTGCCATATTAATCTTGCTAATGTTTACTTCAGTGCCATCCATTTCTCTGCTCAGAAGCTTTCAGAGGTTGTCCTCTTAGCTCTGGAATTAAAGCTTCCCAGCGTGGGTTTCAAAGATTTGGCTGCAGTTTACTTCCTGAATTTAGCGGTACTTACTGTTCTGTTAACAGCTCCCGGGAAATAGTATCCTAGGCACTTCTGTTATCCAGTGGCCGAACTAGCCTACTTGTTCTTATTGTTTCTTACTTCAGGTCCTTGAAGCCCAAGGAGATCAGATGAGAAACAGATATTTAAACAAAAGTAATAGTTATCAACTCTGGGGATCAGTGTCTTAGAGGAAAAGAAGACCAGGTTTAGAAGGCAGTGGGTGATCAGGGAGCCTCCTCAAAGAGCCTGACCCCTGAAGTTGTTAGTAATGCTCATTACCTCCAGCTTCTCCTCTGTGGTTTGCTGAACTGGATTCTTTCGGTTTGCTTCTTGGTCTACCTCTCTTTACTTCTATGTAGTTGTTTCTGAAGACTCAATACTTGATTCAGTTATGTTTTTTTCTATGCTGAAAGTGAAAGTGTTAGTCGCTCAGTTGTGTCCGACTCCCAGAGTGGACTCACACTCATGTCCATCCAGTCGGTGATGTCATCCAACCATCTCATCCTCTGTTGCCCTCATCTCCTTCTGCCTTCAATCTTTGCTGGCATCAGGGTCTTTTCCAGTGAGTTAACTCTTTAAATCAGGTGGCCAGAGTATTGTAGCTTCAGCTTCTGCATCAGTCCTTCCATTGAAGGAAGGACCCCCTCGACTGTAGCCCCTTCCTGTGCTGAGTCACCAGCTCAAATGCAGGTGCTCAGATGGGAGCGGTGAGTGGTGCTGGCTGGGAGCAGCAGTGGGGCTGAGTGGGGAACTAGTGAGCGGTGGGGGGGCCTCCCTGGCCGCTCAGCAGGGAGGAATCTGCCTGCCCGTGCAGGAGACGTGGGTTCGATCCTGGGTTGGGAAGATCCCCTGGAGAAAGAAATGGCAATCCACTCCAGTATTCTTGCCTGGGAAATCTCACAGACAGAGGAGCCTGGTGGGCTGCGGTCCATGGGGCCGCAAAGAGTCAGGTGTTACTTAGCGGCTAGACAACAAGTGAGCAATAGAGAGCCCTCTGTCTCAAGGAGACAGCTTTTCAGCCCGGGGTACTGTTGCCATTGTGAAACCTAGGCCCAGGGTTTCCATAACAGTCAATATTTCTGGAAAGGCTGGAAAACTGCATTTTAAAGTAAAATCTCTTGATTTTAAAAATCTTTGTCATTTTAAAATCCTGGTAACCATACAACACATTTGTAGGCACAGGCAGTCATCAGGCCACAGGTTTCAGCTGCAACTTTCTAATTTATTCCCCATAGAGAACTGAGAGGTTTGTATGCCTCACTAATTGTCTATGCATGTAACTTGTTGATTTGGCTTTAGCTAACCTTTCTTTCAAACTCTGGTCTCTTCTCCACTCACTGTTGAATATTTTTACTTATGCCATTATAAACTCAAGAAATTAAAAATGGAATTCATATTTCATCCTACAAACCAGCTAGTTTCCTTTCCAACCTTTTCAGTACCTATTTCTCCTGATTCTCCTGGCTTGAAATCTTGGGGTCATTGTTGGCATAATTCTTTTTCTTTTCCATTGAGTTTTTACTTCATAATAACTCTGTAAATCATGCTTTTGTTTCCACAGTTGCTCTTCATCAGTTTATGTCTGAATTACTTGGCCTTGTACTTGATCTTCTATTCTATTCACATTCTACTTTGCCTACTTCTGCTGTAATAATCTTCATTAAGCATTATTTTTATTATATGGTCATCTTAAACAGGTTCACTGAAAGTTAATTTTGTAAGCCCATGTGTGCTTTTTTTCTTGATAATCAAAAATCTAAATGATAAGCTTCTCATTCTTCTTCGTTGTTTTTAACCTTAGCATGTATCAGGATCACCTGGAGGGTTTGTTAAACATAGATTTCTGAGCCTTTCTGCACAGTGTCTGATTTAGTAGGTGTGGGATGGGGTCAAGTATTTGCATTTCTACCATGTTCTCAGGTAAACTGATGATGTAGGCCCAGGAACCACCTTTGGAACAATTGCTGCTAGCAGCAGAGTTGATAATCATGCGAAGGAAGCAACCCTTATCAAGTGAGTAAGTAAATTAGCAGTAGCTGGGATGCGCATGCCTCTTCCCTTCCACCAGATGGCACTCTGGTAGCCAATAGGAAGGAATCTGAAGATCATAAATTCAGAATTACTTGGAGACTGAAGATGTAGGTAGACTTTTGAGTTATAAACGTTAATACCAGATTTTAAATAATAGTTGAGTATAAATTGGAACATATAGAAGTAATATGATTATATAGAATCTGGCAGGGAACTTAGTTGTACTTAAGTTCGTTTTCTATTTTGCTTTATAGTAATTGGTCCAGAGATTTTTTTTGACCTGTAAATGTGATATATAGTGCTTTGAACTGACGTTTTATAGGTTTATATTAACTTTCTTCAAATGAAATAAATTTTTTTTGAGCTTCATTGATTTATTCACCTTTTCCCCTTTAGTGTGGACTTGAATTTTCACTACTGGAATGGTGGAACAAATTTGGGTTAGTTTCCTTTAAAAAAGGTTTTTTTTTTAATTGAAATATAGTTGCTTTACAATGTTATGTTAGTTTCTGCTGTACAGCAAAGTGCATCATTTATACGTATACATGTATCTACTCTTTTATAGATTTCCTTCCCATTTAGGTCACCGCAGATCATTGAGTGGAGTTCCCTGTGCTAAACAGTAGGTTCTCATTAGTTATCTATCTTATGTATAGTAGTGTATATGTCAGCCCCAGTCTCTCAATTCGTCCCCCTATCCCTGCTGTAACCATAATATTCTTGGCATCTGCGACTCTATTTCTGTTTTGCCAATAAGTTCATCTGTACCATTTTTCTAGATTCTACATATGACCAATGTTATATGATACTCATTTCATCTTTCTGACTTTCCCCCTGTATTTCTGACTTTTAAAAATAATTTTTTTGGCCACATCACACAGCACGTGGGATCTTAGCTTCCCAACCAGGTATGGAACCCACACCTCCTGCAGTGGAAGCCCAGAGCCTTAATCACTGGACCACCAGGGAAGTCCCAGGTGAAATAAAATTCTCTCTCATCAATAAAACTGGGACTTGAAGCAAGACCTTGTATTTCTGTTTATTCTTTATGCTACAGGTAGTCCTTCAATTATTACATAAAACTTGCTAGTCTGGCAGCGTTAGCCTTGAAGTGACATTTGGGTACTGGCCATTAAGGAATTCTGCAGAAGGAAATGGCAACCCACTCCAGTATTCTTGCCTGGGAAGTCTCATGGAGAGAGAGGCCTGGTGGGCTACAGCCCATGGGGTCACAAAGAGTCAGACATGACTTAGTGACTAAACAACAACATTAAGGAATTCAGAGTTATTCTGGGGGACCTCCCTGTGGGCAAGTGGCTAAGACTCCTGGGTTCCCAATGCAGGAGGCCTGGATTTGATTCCTGATGAGGAAACTAGCTACCACATGCCTCAACTAAGAACTGGCACAGCCAAATAAATATTAACCAAATAAAAAGGAGTTCAGTGTTTTTCTGGATCTAAAGAAATTAGCACTTAATTTTTTTGATACTTAATTTTTCTTTCTGGAAGTTTTTGAATTAAGTTGAAAAAAGTTTTAGAAATGGTGCTTTAGGGTAAGTATAGTTCAGATTTTAAAAGTCTATATGAAATTTATTTTAGAAATACTCCTAAAGCTAGAATCTGTCACTTCAGGTTAATTTTTATGAAGTATTGATTTGAATGACAACTTGTCTGCACTTTGGAATCATTGAAGAGGAGCTTCAAACAAAATATGTGTCCTATTTTGTTGTGTTAGGACACACAATATCTGTATCCTACCATAGTTTTCAGAATGTCCTATGCTTGGGATCACAATATATAGCCTTTTCAGATTGACTGCTTTTGCTTAGCAGTGTATATCTAAGGTTCCTCTCTATTTTTTTTTTTTATGGAGTAGTGTTTTTTCTTTTTATTGCTGAATAGTATTTCATTGTGTATATATACCACTGTTTGTTTATCCATTCAGCTATTGAAGGACCTCTTTGTTACATCCACATTTTGGCTAGTATGAATAAAGCCATCATCAACATTCACATGTAGGTGGACGTAAGTTTTCAGCTCATTTGGGTAAATAACAAGGAGTGCAGTAGCTGGGTCATATGATAAGGGTATGCTTAGTTTTTTACGAAACCACCAAACTTTCTTTGAAAGTGGCTGTATTGTTTTGCGTTCATACCACAATGACTGAGGATTAAACTTTTTGTTTAAACGTTTTGTTCTTTTTGTTTAAACTTTTGTTCAAAGAAGCTAAAGCAAGCAAAAAGGAATGTAGTATTTATACATTGAAACATGACTACCCACATTACTGTGTTCATTGTATTCTACATTTGTTTCAGGTTTAATTCGTACAAAAGGACTAATATACTGCAGCATTTGGTAAGTTTGGACTTTGTTTTGCTGGCATTATTAGATTATGATGGGTAATTTAAAATGTCATTGTTAAGGAAGTAGAGAAGTACTGGCAGATGTTGTTGACCATGATACACTGTGGTTTCCAATTTCGTAGTGTCAAATTTGACACATATAACTTGTAGGAGGTGGCATAAGGTTATAGGTAAGAGGATGAATCTTCAGGTCAGAATGCTTAGGTTTAAATAATGGGTGTACTACTTAATCTTGGGCAGATTACTTGATCTCTCTCAGCCTCCTTTATCGATATTTTAAAAAGAGGGATATTAGTATTCACCTTAGAGTGCTTATGAATAATAAATAATTCATTAAAAAATTTAACACTGCTTGGCATATGATAATCACTTAATACATGTCACCTACTATTGTACTAATAGTACCCTTCCAGAGCTTAGATGGTCTTAGTTTATCATGTTGTAAGGAAGAAGTGATTTTTATTTATTTTTCTATATCTCCACTATAGACTGAATCTGTCCCCCCCAATTCATATGTTGAAATCTAATTGCCAATGTGTTGATATTTGGAGATGGGGCCTTTAAGAGGTGGTTAGGTCAGGAAGGCCGAGCTCTCATGAGAGAATCAGTACCTTTATAAAGGAAACACCAGAGAGCTCCCTCCGCCCTCTGCCTTCCGAGGAGGGATGCAGCGAGAACTGGGAGGTGAGACCTCACCAGACACTGAATCTGCAGGTGTCTGGATCTTGACTTCCCAGCCTCCAGAGTTGTGAGAATCAAATGCAGTATAAGCTATGCAGTCTATGGTATTTTTGTTATAGCAGCCTGAATGGGCTAAGGCACCCTCATACAACCCCACAAGCACCTTGCACATAAAAATGACAAGTCACTCTGATGTAGCACTTATGGTATGCCAGGTGCTATTCAAAGTACTGATACTTATTGTTAATAGTTCAGTTGATTCTCATAGTCTTATGGGATAAATAACTATAGATCTGTCACCTCTAGTTCTGAAACCTTAAAATCAGATGTTTGTGGATATTTGTGGTAAATGCATTTGGTGGCTGTCTTGCTGTTCACGCTGTGCGCAGTGACTGCGGAACCCAGGGTATGCAAGGCACAAGCTAAGAGACTGGAAAGAGACTCAAGGAGCCACAGGAACTGCAGACACATTTATTCTCTCCCGGCTGGCACGGCAGCCATAACACAGCCTCTCTTCTGGCTGATGCAGCAGCCATAGCAGCAGCCGTAATATAACCAGAAGTCACCTGTGACACAGCCATAGCATATAACATAACCGTGACATCGCTCCAGTGTAGCCCCGATGCAGCAGCAGCAGCTGGGGCTTTCATGGTGAAGCTCATGCAGGTGCACTGCACACACTAGCCTGTGGCCGAGCGAGTGCCTCGTGATGCTCATGCGTAGTACCGTAAGCAACCTCAGCTGTTACACACCGTGCAAAGTCATTGTCCACGGGACATGGGGTGAGAGGGCCTGACTCGTGCCATCTTGTTAATTTCTGCACATTCCACCCCTTCAGGCTATAGTGTATGGGGTCACAAGAGTTGGACATGACTTGGCGACTAAACCACATTCACCCCTTCAGGGTCTCTCACCTCACCATCTATGCACAATATCACCGCGATATTCCCTTGGCAAGTAATGCTGATCTTTGAAGTTACATCTCCCAACAGCAGTAGCTATAATAGCAGTTAATCCCCCAAACAGGAAATCTAGTGCCAGGTATCACCTGGAACTCATGTTGCAGTCCTTGCCCTCATGGGGCTAAAAGAGCCACCCACTGCATGCAGAGTGCCTTTTTCTTCCATGGCCAAGTCCAGTCCACCATTTGTCCTGGTGAGATTTCAGGAAAGCCTCCAGGAGCAACTCCACCCCTGCTGGTTTTTTTTTATTAAGGATCCACAAACCTCCCCCCCAGGCGCCAGGCCCACCCCTTCTAGGAGGGGATTTTTTTTGTGTGGTATTCATGGATCACCCACATGATTCCAGATACTTTCACACTGTTCTAAATCTTCAAGAGAATCAGAGGTTAGTAGCACATCACAGACACAGCCTTTGCAGTACACTGTCCTACTAAACCTACATCACAGGACCCAGCCTTTACTGTATACTCATCACAGACACAGCCTTTGCAGCACAATCCACATCACAGACACAGCCTTTGCAGTACACTGTTCTAAATCTACATCACAGACGCAGCCTTTACAGTATACTCATCACAGACGCAGCCTTTACAGTATACTCATCACAGGACACAGCCTTTGCAGCACAATCCGCATCACAGACACAGCCTTTGCAGCACACTGTTCTAAACCTACATCATTTGGCCGCCACAGCCGTCAGTGTAGGCACTAGGAACAGGAAACTGCTTTGGCTTGCCATAAACAAGGCTGCACTCAGCACCAGTGTCACTCAGGGCCATTACTCTTTGTACACCAGCTAGTGACCAGTGAATTGCAAGTTCTCCATGGGGCCTCCAGTTCCTGTTTGGGCTCGGGAGGGTGCCTTGATCTGAGCCCTATTCAAAGTGAAAAAGGGCAACATCTAAAGGAACATTCTGGGTGCCATGTAATCTTCTAACCAAACCACCTATTTCTCTTGCTGTGGGTGCTTCCCAAACTTGGTAAACTGCTCCTTCAGTCTCAGTTGCCTCCATAGCTCTCTAGGAGCAGAGCTTTGGGCTGTCTGTCAGTTTTATTTTTGTCAACTCCTGCTGCCAGCAAATCAGCCCACATTTGCATTCTCATCACCCGGGTGGGGCTGTTACTAGCTTGGGCCCCCTTCAGGGTCTTCACACTTCTGATCCCCCATGCCTGTGGCCATCCCTATTTCTCCCAAGCTAGCCACCATCAAGGTCATCGCATAGATGGGACGGCTCACATAGGGCACAAGAATAGCAGTCCGGGATCCAAAGTGGTAGATGGGGCATTGTTCAAAATGGCATCTCAAATGCCGCCAGTAAAATGCTCATCATCTAGGCCTCAGCATCTGGGTTAGATATCTACTGCTTCATGCCCAGTTCTCTCGCCACTTGGGTCAACTCGGGATCGGTATGCCTCTTAGAGTATCCGGGAGCTCTCCCGTGTTCGACCACATGGTACAGATGGCAGCATTAATCCCATTCCATCAGGGTGTGTGTTTTGTTAGGTGCACCCTGCATGAGCCACCTAGCATACTGTAACCTTTGTCTCAATGAGGGGTGAGTGGTTATAGATGCCGGTCTTTCTACCTTGTACCCGGAACACAAGATACTGTCTACTCTGGTATCCCAGAGTTGCAAAAGCCATACTGCCAAGGGTTCCCTGTGCATTTGCTGAAACTGCTTACCCAAGTCAACCAACTTCACCTGAGTACATGGTGGACACCTCATTAACTCAGTCATGTTGGGGCCCACTTGAGGATGTCCCCCTGCCCCTAGGTCACAGGCTGCTCATGCTTCACCTTCTGCTGCACAGCGGGCCTTGCTGCCAAGTGGGTACCTGCAGTCTCATGGCCTTCATCATTGTCCCTTACCACCTCACTGTCAGAGATGCTGGGTTACCTAGGGCCGGTTCTTGCTCCGACACCAATACACGGTACTCCAGTTCGTTCAAGCACCTCTGCACATTGCACAATGCATGTGGCATCACGGAGAGCACCATCCGTATTTGCCTTCAAGGCAGCTGGGGAGATCCGCCGTTCGGTGCCAGTGGCGGTCCGTGCCGCCTTGTCCAGCAGACGGGAGCTCACCGCCTGTTACACCTTTTCAGTGCTATCCAGTGAACGTCCACCACTTTGCGGTCTTCCATGGGAGCCCACGCCAGGAGGATTGCAGCCACACAGTACCACGTGCTGAGGGGTGGCCACTGGCTTCCTCCATCCAGTGGAGCCTCAGGCTCTTCTCCCTTCTGGGTATCCTGCTGCCTCTTCTGTGGAGCCTCAGGCTCCTCTTCCTGCTGGGTATCCTGCCAATTACACCAGTTGTGTTGCTGTTCATCCTGTTCCTGACACCAGTTGTCTTGCTGTTCACACTGTCCCCACTGTCCGCTGAACCCAGGGTAGGCAAGGCATGAGCTGAGAGGCTGGAGGGAGACTCGAGGAGCTTAGGAACTATAGACATGTTTATTCTTTCCTGGCCGGCACGGCAGCCATTACACAGCCTCTCTCCTGGCTGATGCAGCCTCTGTAGCAGCCACAACATAACCATGATGTAACCGTAGCAGACTCATAACATAATCACGACGTTGCTCCAGCGTAGCCCCGGTGCAGCAGCAGCCAGGGCTTTGATGGTGAAGCTCATACAGGTGTACCGCACACGCTAGCCTGCAACCAAGCGAGTACCTTGTGAGGTGCATGCAGAGAGCTGGAAGTGATCTCAGCCGTTGCACAGCCACGCAGTCATTGTCTGCAGAACACGGGCAAGAGGGTATGAGAGCAGGGGGTGAGAGAGCTGGACTGGTGCCATCGTGTTAGTTTCCCCACAGTGGCAAAATACAACTGGAACATACTTCTGAAACTCTTTTTGTCTTTATCCTAACTAGTGTAAATATTCATTTGGTTTGGTGCAGAAGTACTAAAGCATTTGGTTACAGTGTACTGACCCAGACTCTTTAAGTGATATGTACTTTTACTTTTCCAAAGTCTAGAAAATTTTCTGAATTTTGAAATGCATCTGGACCCAAGAGTTTTGATAAACAGACTATGGTCTTATCTCTATTTACTGGATCAGAATCAGGGGGACAGAGAGGCTAAGTAGTGTGCCCAATATCCACATCTCATAAGTAGGAGATGGGATTTGAATCCAGGCTACCTGGCTCCATGGACTGCCTACTGCACTCTACAGCCTGTGGCAGACTGGGTACAGAGTAACCACTGCAGCATGTTTCTCCATCCAGCCTAAGTGGAGATGGGCATGTGAAAACTGGAAAGTCTTACCCTTGCTTATTTAAGTCAGCTGACTTACACAGAGGCTGAGGAGTTCCCTGGAAAAACAATTTAGGACAATGTTATTTT